GCAAAAACTTCAACTCGTTCAGAACTTCGCTGCTCGGATAATTAGTGGTACATATAAATTTGAGCATATAACTCCATCACTTAAGAATTTGAGATGGCTTCCCGTAAAAAAGCAGCTTTACCTCCGAGACGTTGTTTTCGCTTTTAAGTGCATGACGGGCTGCGCCCCGACGTATCTGACATCACAATTTGTCAAAAGGCAACAAATATCAAGTAGAACCACAAGAAACTCACAACAACTGAATATTCCCCTGTGCAAAACCACTGCTGGTCAGATCTTTTTATTACAGAATAGTAAAACTGTGGAACTCTTTAGACAAAGACTTAAAACTATGCGAGAGTCATGCAAATTTTAAGAAAACTCTGAAGACAAAGCTCAGCGAATTCTTAGATCAAATTTTTCTTATTTCTTTCATTTTTCTTTCTTTCAATTTTTTTTATTAATATATAATTAGTGTACTTCTTACATAATATATAACTAGTGTACTTTGTACTTATTTCACCCCGTGTATTATATTGTTCACTGAAAAACCTTTTAAGGAGTGTACAATAAAATTTGTCTTATCTTTTTATCTTATAGCTTTAATTTAATTTTAGATTTAATTTCAAAGGACTTTTAAAATGAAACAGCTCAGTGATTTTCTTCGTTGAAGGTAACTGATTCTTATCAGAACTCGATAGAATGCCACAATGTTATACATTTGTATATAACGGTCTGTAAAGACCCCAAAAGACATAACACAGTGTGTATATCAAGTGAAACAAGATTATAATACTCATATTAAGTCTCAGTGAATCTTAATTCATTATTTTGTGGTTTTGAATTAATCGCATCATTCAGCATTCAATTAATTTGTCAAAACAAATGGTATCCATGGCTGCTCAACTTTTTCCTGTTTCTGCCACTAAGCAACGTGAGTAATAACGATGTCTATTATTCTAGTGAAAGCCTGTTAAGGGAAGGGAAGTCACAGTTGAATCAAAGTTGCTTCTATGAGCCGTATGATACTTAACAGAACTTGATCTAATATATCAAACACTCGAGACAGTGTTTCATTGGGATATCCAAACACCGAGAGGAGAGTTGAAAATACGACGCGCAGCGGAGTAGTTTTGACGACATTCGAGTTGTTTGGATAGCCGATGAAACACTGTCTGGAGTGTTTGATATATCTTCTCAATCGAAACAAAAACTAAGGAGTAAACGGAGAAGTGAAATCGTCAAAATCTATGCTAATTAAGACCGGGTATCCAAACCTCCTTCAAGGTTGTAATTTTCTTTGTTTTAACTTGATGAATTATTAATGAGTTTTAGAAAGAATATTACAATGATATTTGATGAAATATCTGTAAAAACAGCAAATCATAGAATAGGAGAATCTTTGTTTACACTTTTTGCCTCATTGGGATAAGCAGTTTTTGATGGAGCTGCAATAACTTAATTAGTTCTGAATATTGCAAGGGCACAACACGATTAACTATCTCAAGGAGTTTGAACCCGATGTATTGAAGAGTTTTTGTGCGACGTGGTTTTAAAAACTTTACAAAGAATGTCTGGGCTCATTAGCGCTTTTGTCAATTTAGTCAATTCGTGAGATGCCTTCACCCAGCAAAGTTGTATGTTGATGAGGAAAAATGTAAACAATGACGTCAGCAATTATTCTGCTATAGTGATACAAGTTGACAGTGCTCATTATCCGCTTATAATTAAGTCTAAGTAATTCATTGTTTTGTTGTTTATTAATGGCATCATTCAGTAGAATTCCTTGATTGCTCTGAGGTTTCAGTCAGGAACACTGATAAGCGACGTCAATTTCTGTCATTCTAGTGAAAGTCTACTAAGGGTAGAGAAGTCAAAGTATTAATATTTCGCTGCTTTTTACTCTGCTTGATTTTGGTCGACGGTTTTGTTTGGCATTCTCTTGGAAGCACTTAAAACGAAGTTAACTAGTTGAAAGGTTAAGGGACGAAGTACTCCATGGCATCGTTTCCATAGTGAATTAAAATATCTTACATGATGCTACTGGCAACAGAAATCAATTAGCTTTTTTTTTTTCATAATGAAGTTATCAAGCTTGTCCGTGCAAGATGGCTGTTTCGTGTGTGTGGGCTGACAAGCAGTTGGAGTCCAAAAACACGCAATCACAATTCTTGACCAACGGCCATTGACTTTATGCTTGGTAACTGACCCATATATAACAAGTGGTTTCCTTGGTCGTAACATTTTTTCCTGTTTCAAAGACGTATATCTAGTGTTATTAACGTAACAAAACCACTTAATGTCATAACAAGTGGTTTCTAAGCCCGAGCCATTTTTTCCTGTTTCAGATATGGTAAACAACAGTCCTCAATTTGTGCCATTCTTGCAAAGGACTGACATGGCAAATGTGTCGCTTTTTCTTTTAGTTCTGCCGCATTTTTTTTTTTTTTTTTTTTTTTGAAGCGCCCTAAACAAATCGACTTAAAAATTGTTAGTGCCGACAAAGGTCACATCTCTACTTTGGTCTTTGTGGAATAACCTCCCCCTATTTTACTCCAGCTCCTCCATGCATGCCGCACCAGCAATGAAATCAAAACAAAGTAGGTTCATAGAGACAATATAGCTAATTTTAATTTCAGCGACATTTTCATGGAAAATGAAGAAGTTAATTGATTACACGTTTGGTTTGTTTGTTCAAGTATAATTGGTGAAGTGTTTGTCGCTTCATCTCAATTTGATGCTGAGGTCTGAAACTGTCGGTTTGTCTTCACGACAAAACTAGTCAGGTTTTTCATCGAAATTTACTATTTCCATCAGCAATTCAATAAGGTAAAAACTTGTCTATGTTGGTACTAGTAAAGTCAAGATCACTCTCTTTGCTGTTGTTGTTGTTGTTGTTGTTTTTTTTCTGATGACTTCTTGTTTAGGTCAAGTTGTACGCGGAAAAATTAGCGAAGGTATTTTCCCACACAAACCGCAACACTAACAAGGCAATAAATGAGTCGAAATCAGTCTTGCCTTCAATTAATTCGTGAGTCATAACAAATGATCAGTAATTATGGTAAAGAAATGAATTAAACTCGTTTGAAAAGATACTAAATGTCTTTTGCGAGAGGGAAGTAGAAAGTTTTACTTGTTTATTTGGCCTCAGGTTGTTTTTGTCCAGCGACATTTGTTTGCAAGCGCTTAGAAAATACGAATTATTGACCAATCTCTCAACTTTGACGTGGAAAAGTTGAGAGCATAAACTGAAGTGATGTGAAGTTTATATGAAATAATTCATATATGAACTGCGGTAGTAGATGAAAGTGAAGAATGATCATCGCAGTTAATTTTCCAATTTAAGCA